TTGCAAATGGAATCATCATTCATCATTGTAATGGACTGATCATTCCATAGGGAGGCCTAAGGAATGATTATTCCATTCCATTCCAAATCTTATTCTAAGTGAGCCAAAATAGAACATTAGTTCACAAGGTAACATTAGCTCATGGACGTGTAGTGACTATTAGTACCTCTGTACATGACATCGCTGGTTTAGGGCAGAGTACCCGTGTCGACACGAACGACATGGTGCGGGTGTGAGATATGTGTCAGATCGGCATCGGTTTCTTGGACATGGCTGACATGAGCAGAGAAAGAAGGGTTGTGAGAGAAACTTACAGTGAGCAGTTGGTAGCAACAGGGTGAAGATTCTATGTCGATTGTTTCTCTGGTCTCTTGTCTCTGTCTTCATTCTATGTCGATCTCCTCTTCTCTCTCTCTGTCTTCTCTTCTTTATCATTCAATCTCCTCGTCTTCTTCTTCTTCTTCTTCTTCTTCCTCTCTCTCTCTCTCTCGTCTATTTGTGTTTCTTATCCTCCCCCCTTCCTTTTAACATATAATAATAAATATATTTGTTATATAATAATAATCTAATTAAATCATATATAAATAAAAAAAAAATCTATAAAATAAATCATCCAAATTTATTTTTTATTTATGTTTAACATTTTGTTATTCTTTATTTTTATATTTTTTTTATTTTATAATATATTTATCAATTAAAAAAAAATTATATAAATAAATAAAAAATATTATCAATAAAAATAAACATTAAGATTAAAAATAATAAATATTTTTTAAAAATAACTATTTAACTCATCTTTATATAATAAATATATTAAAAAATAACTATTACCGTATTCCAGTACTTCGTATCCAAATTGGATCATATTTTATGTATTTTCAATTTTAATTTGAAGTATCCACCCTTAGATGTACCTGCCCCTGCCTCTGCACCCAATATCTACACCCGAGTCCGTGTAAATAGTTTAGTACTGCTCTCATGATTCTCAGTCAGCCTATTTTATCTCGGCAGAATGCGTCAATGACACCAATTGTTGAGATGACATTAGCACAGGGAATCTTAGAAAGGGATTGAGGACCATGGAATGGTTAACAGTTTTCATATGAGAATTTGTAACTGGAAAAGCGTGTCAGCATTAGCCAGTAGATTGCCTGGTAGTATATATACATCTACATGCAAACATGTGTGGGCTGATATCGGTGTACATACCAACACACATAATCATATTTATTGGCTTAGGGTTTTGGAGTCTGCTTCAGCATTTGCTGCATTTTCTTACTTGCAAGTGATTGTCTTTTTACAGCACCCTGCAGATGAAGGATCCGCTTGCAAGAACTACGTCAGAAGTAAAATGCTTTGTTAGTTCAAACTTTTTAAAATGACCAAATCCAGTGTGGCTAAATAGACTAGTGAAAATTTCGTTAGTGCTATCTGGAGAAATGAAGATAGTCACTTACTAGATACTGAGCAAAAATTGGTATTCCATTTCACTAGTATATGTCGGCGTTTCTATTACAGCCCTAGATGCTGTGCCAGTTAAACATTTATCTGTGAAAATTTTTAGATCTTACTATGCATTTTTATGTTTTCGAAACTGTAAAACAGGTCCTGCCTGAAATAGGGTATCAGTTGTGCACAACTATGCTGATCAGATTCAAAATGGGGTTAGGCTCTGCAACATTCGTCTCTGCGGTTCAAGTCTTTTAAAAAGTATAATTTTTCTGTGTTCTGTGTCTAGAAAATCTTTAAGTTAGTTACTGTTGATCTAATGTTCAATCATTATGTGAATGACCTTCCAAGATATTAACCCCTACCAATGTTTGGTGAACAAGTCTGTCAGATTTTTGTTTGTGCTGATGACTTTGGAGAACCTTTTGGATCTCCTGCTTCATTATGCTTTCGTGAGATTTGCTGGGATGAGTTTTTTTTTTCACCCGCTAAATGGATGGTGTTAGAGAGCATGAATATATGCATTCTGTCTTGTTATACAATTCATCTTTTAAATTTCTGGAGGATTTTTTTGTGTACACCCTTTTGTGTTTTTACAGGAATTGAATCTTCTACACAGGCAAGCCAACTGTGTCACACTTAATTGCTGAAGAACATTCCTTGTCCCTCTCTCTCTATTCTCTCTCTCACCATTGAACTTCTTTTACCAAGCTAAATTTTTTTTTCTTGATTGTATTATAGTTAGTCTGTCAACTACGTACATATACATGCCATATATAGAGAAAATATTATTGCCAGAGAAGTTAGTTATTACTTCCATAGACTACACATTGACAACCAGGTGCTTTAAATGTTAAGTGTCCTCAATGTTGTATATTTAACTCAAGATGCTATACTTTATTGAACATAGTTCAAGAGATCGCAATCTTATCT